TTGAACTGAGTTTTACTGTGCGTATTGCTATGTGTTTCTTTATTCTACATTGGCTAGAGGTATAGGGGGAGGGTTGAGATCTCACAAAACATGTTTAACCCCGCCGCATATTGCGCCTGTCCCAAGTCAGGAGCCTCTGGCCTTTGTTTTTTAATTTTAGTTCATTTATATGTTTTTGAGGTGAGTGTGACGTCCATTTTCACTGAACTAGTACACAATTTTATTTAGGGGCCAGCTGAGGACCACCTCCAGGTGCTGGATTTTCTCGCTGCGTTGAAGACCCATTGGTGGCCTTCGGCTGTTGTCTGCTCTTAGGTCGGGTTGTTGTCTCTTTGACATATTCCCTATTTCCATTCTCAATTTTATGTCATCAGCGACTTTGAAAATTAGTCCCGATAAATTATATTTACTGGAGTTATGGCCCTTGGAAATAAAATTTATATGTAAATTGCATTGTATGCCATCTGACACCTGCATTTCTTGTAGGATATTTACAAGAAAGTTGAGTTTAAAAGAACAAGCCAAAAATAAAGTGGATTTTTTGCAGACTTATTCGGAAAGGATATAGTTACGATACTGTTGTCAAGTCATTTAGGATTACATATTTTGGTATTAATATTGATTCACTCATAGGGTCGTTGCATCGGAAATAAACACATTTATTCTAAAACCAGTTGTTGGCATGATACGGGTTATGTTCTTCTCATTTATTTTATGATAGTATGATACTAAACCCCTAACGGGAGGGATTGTACTTGATTTTCATATGATGAAGAAATAATCTTTCTATCAGTTTAATCAATCGAGGTCTAGAGCTGGCATGTCAGTAACTGCTAGTAGTCCTTTGTTCATTTATGTATCATTGTCATTTTGCTTATTTTCTTTTTTTTACCTATTCTGACATCGGACTCGGACTTCTTTTGAACTGAGTTTTACTGTGCGTATTGCTATGTGTTTCTTTATTCTACATTGGCTAGAGGTATAGGGGGAGGGTTGAGATCTCACAAAACATGTTTAACCCCGCCGCATATTGCGCCTGTCCCAAGTCAGGAGCCTCTGGCCTTTGTTTTTTAATTTTAGTTCATTTATATGTTTTTGAGGTGAGTGTGACGTCCATTTTCACTGAACTAGTACACAATTTTATTTAGGGGCCAGCTGAGGACCACCTCCAGGTGCTGGATTTTCTCGCTGCGTTGAAGACCCATTGGTGGCCTTCGGCTGTTGTCTGCTCTTAGGTCGGGTTGTTGTCTCTTTGACATATTCCCTATTTCCATTCTCAATTTTATGTCATCAGCGACTTTGAAAATCAGTCCCGATAAATTATATTTACTGGAGTTATGGCCCTTGGAAATAAAATTTATATGTAAATTGCATTGTATGCCATCTGACACCTGCATTTCTTGTAGGATATTTACAAGAAAGTTGAGTTTAAAAGAACAAGCCAAAAATAAAGTGGATTTTTTGCCCTTAGACAGGACAAACATGCTCATGGTGGGTGACATTGGAACGCTGTTCTTTTATTTCTTTTTATCGTAAACAAAATCAAATACATCTGATGAAAAACCATGGTTTAACATGATTGAAGACAGATTTGTTGAAGTCATAGTTCACATCCGGGACTGAATAATATTTTAAGGTATACTTTATCAACCTTGTTCATTGTTAAGACTTTAAAAAAAAACAAACATTTTTTTTAGAGATGAGGAGGCACTTTGTGACTGATGAAAATGCTATGACCCTGGCTGACACTATCATGTATCATCGTATCCATTTATTTGATATTAGTTAATATAATGACCAAAGTAGGTGTTCCCATTTCTCATGAATTTATTTCACCAGCAGGGACAAAATAAAAAAGATGTCAAAACCTTCTGCAATTTGAATATTAAACTGTTGCGTTAAAATTGGTACCCTTTAACGTTATTAAAGATACTTCGAATTTATGATAATTTTAAAGCATTTGATTCAACTTTATAAACGGCGAATTTCCTTTGAATTGTCACATCAGTTTTCTTAATGTCGACAGGCTTCACTTTAATTAACATTTTTATATTATAAATTCATAGGTGGTGTTTTATCAAGGTTTTATCAACTTAATGCGTAATTTAAAGATGTGACCAAAGTTTAAATGTTTAGAGATTGCTCAAAACTTGAATTTTTATACACATGTATTTAGCAAAACTTGAGTGTTGATCTAAAAAATGCATAAAAATTTCTTTTTTAAAACCAAAATTCTACTGATAGTAGTCCTAAATGTTGTATTTCAGATACAGATGTTCGTTTTAGTCAAATATGTCATTCAATTCAAATTTTACAAAAACATGTAAAAGCTGCGATATTTTCTTCAACAGAAATTTATAGAATACTAACATTTTGAGTTAAAGTGTTCGAACATTGTTTACGAACAACATATACACTCATCGAATTATTTAATAAATACAGGGCCAATACCTCTATAGTTCATATTACACATTATTTGTTCATTCGATCGATGTTCTCCATAACGTTTCAAAGGGATATATTGCTTTTGCTTGGTTAATCTGTCTGATGGACAGTTTCCACTGGAGAACTTTTCTGCCGCCGAGAATAAGATTGGATAACTGAACTTACTGGGACTGATAATTATATTTCAACATTAAGTCATTTATCAGGTAGTAGGTATCAAAATCTTTTGTTTTTCTTGTTCTAGATGTGTCTTGGAGGCGAGTCCATAAACTACCGAGGAGGTTTTTATTATTTGTGTTTAAGATCTGAACATTCTGCCCTGTTACATCTGCGAAACCACTATAGTTGTTTTGGCTTTTATCACAATGATTTGAAATTATTCTTAGCGATATTTGCATATGCTTATTGCAAAGGTCATTTGTATGTCTTCAAATTGCGCCTTTCACCCATATCATATTCCCCATCTTTCATATTTCATTTTAAAGTTTCAATTTGAAAACAATGGTCAAAGATGTAATTCAGGGCACACGTGTACTAATGTTTTAATTGGAGGGCCACTGATGAACCTTATGTAGACGAATTGCGCGTCTGGAGTACCAAATTAAGCCTGGTATCTTTGATGAATTTTCATATACCCATATATTGATATACTATTCAAGGTTTAATTGTTTCATCAAACTGACTGCATTTTAGCCACTCAATTTCATAGCATAGGATTTAAAGAGTTATTATTGACCCGACAAAATTAATCATGACTAGAATATTGTAAAATTTGAAACATCTTTGAATGAAGAACACGACAAACAGAACAAATTATAACATTTCCTGCATAGATAACTTGTATAATACCAGCTGATTGGCACAGTGTGAACCAATTCAGATCTTTTTCTGCGCCCACTCGCCAAGAAGTTTCATCTTACAACACTAATCTATATCTTTAAACGAAAATACTTTGTAAAATATCCATAATGGGTACACCTTTTGGTATACACTGCTAATAAACTTTTGAGCCTTTCTTTCCTTTCTATAAAATTTATGATTTTTTTTTACTTTTTCAAGTTATAGAGTGATTAAAAATAAATTACGTGCTAGGAATAACTAAACATTGAAAAATGCTGACACATTTAAACTATCTGATACTCTAGACAACAATTGCCACAAAATGGTATCACAAAAATTCGAATTTTATTCTTTTCAGCTTCGTGTATGCTTTGGTTTTCTGTTTTGATTCTAGCACCTCTGATTAGGCAGCTTATGTAGCTAAAATGCGAGTCTGGTAAACCGATTATAAGCCTGGTATCTCTTTTATTCTGGCGTTTGCTGCAGTCAGCGTTAAAGTGTAGTGACTTCCAAAACTTAGTCCATTTATAAGTTAAATTGCGGGGAAAAACAAAGAACCTTTTTTCTTCAGATTCTATTTCTTGATCATGGGAGAAGCTCTCCTTGGTGGTCAAGTGGTCTTTTCTGGTAATGGTACTGTTTTTAAAGCATCCTTTTTAAGTGAGCGGGGTCGTTGGCAATTAATTATGAAATCATAATTACGAGTTTTAAGAATTTCAAATGAAATAGTCCGGCCACAGCTATTTTTCTTTTCTTTTACATTACCAATTCATTCGGACTCTTATCAAAACAGAAATAATTAAAAAAAATACGTCTGATAATTATTTATTAATCTAAACATGTTTAATGCATTTGACTTCGAAAAAAATTGATCAACAGTGAACACTTAATACGAAGATGGATTCACAATAATATAGATTCTATTTGGTCTAAGGGGGTGTTCACAAATACTATTCGTGTTAAATGTTAGGGACATTACTGCACTCGTGATATAAAAGCAAGATACAAAAAAAAACCTTTTTAAGCTGAGCTGTCAAAACATTAAAAACACAAAAACGATCTATTGAGTTGCAAATCAATTCTCAGTCGATTTTCCCGTTGACAGGTGCACCATAAAGTATAACATAAGTACAAGAAAACTACGCATGCGCTTAATTACATAAACAAACCGATTTAGGACAACATGCTAATGAGGTTTTTCATTTCCTTGTGGAATTTCAATATCAAAGTTTCATACAAGTTACCTCTTTGATTGGGAATATCACCGCGTCAGGACTTTAACGAAATGACATATCTGATGGAAATAGTTTCATTTCGGAACAACGCTTGCATTTTACAAAAGAACACAGCGAAATCCAGGCTAGTCAGGCAGTCAAAGTGGGGAATTCCCGTTGTGACGTCATGCATAATATAGATATTGCATAATACTGATTTTCCGCATTGAAAAATAAACGCAAATTAAAAAGGGAGAAATCAAAACATGATGATTTTTAGTAAAAACATAATGGCTAGTTGTTTAGATTATATCTGTTTGTTTGATCTACTCCCTGAAACAAAACAATATGAAGAATCTGAGTTTTTCCTCAACGTAAAACACAAAACGGTTGACGTGAGAGTCTTGGAAAGCAAAAAGTAACTCAAGTCAACAGTAAAGGTCATAAGAAGGCTTCTTTTCCCCAAAACCAAGAAATGATGATGGCGACTGAAAAAACACAAACAGTAACAAATTTAATAGAAATATACAAAAATGTAACATAATTAGAATAACAAAGAGAAAGTTTTAATAAATAGAAATCACAGACATTTAAGATTAAACAAAACGCTAAACCGCTGTTGGTTGCCAGATGACATTTTCAATTTTGTCTTACTTCGATCTTTCTGGAAATTGCAGTGATAGCCACATGTAGAATGTTATTTCGCACTCAATTTAAATATTTTGATAATTCATGTGGCACTTTTCTCAACTTCTGATGGAACATGGTGATAGAAATAACGTCATCATATTTCATATTTATTTCAGTAAAGTTCTAAAATGTTTTCAGAACAAAATCACCAATTTATAGTCAATGGCTAGAAAATTCATGTTATCACTGGAATTTCTTTTCCTTTCTAGTAACTGATTGTCTTATTATCGACCTTTCACTTAACCTTGACTTCGTGCACTTGTAACACGGACTGGTCTATCGTTGTTATGGCAACCAATCGGAATGATTGCTTCGACTGGGTTGTCGATCGTCTTCGAGAAGGTAGCATTATCTTTTAGTATTTTCACCCTTCAGTGTTTTACATTTTCACTTAAGGAACGGGTCTATAATGTTATCTAATAAACTGTTTGAAAGCGTTTTATCTTTATGAGATTTGGTATTAAGAATTTTTTTCGAGGTAGATTTTGCTTCAGTTTTTGGCAGAGCAATGTTCAAATTAAAATTTCGCAGTTCCTCCTCTAGTTGCGATTTTGAAAAAGATAATGGTTCTGTTTCGACGGTCGTGTTAGAACTAACCGTCATATTAGAAGTACTGTTTGTTTCTATGGAGATAGAGTCGTTTGTATCAATAGTTACTTCTTCAACAACCACTCGCGGAACTTCTCGCATATTGAAAAATCCATTTGATGGATTTATATGATCATGATGTGTACCTTGCATATATGAATTATCATGGTTATGTGAAGGCACCTGGTTATACTGATTATACTGTGAGCCATCAGTTCTCGCCAGGAGATGTAATGTTCGCATAATTAAATTTCTGAAAGATGACAAATCACCAGGATTCATAGAAGAAAATGATGACTGCAAAGCACTGAGACGTTGATGGTCAGGTAAAGAGATAGATGGATCTGTTCTAGATGTTTGCATACCAAATTTATTAGAATCTGACTGATGTCCAAATTTATTAGAATCGGTCTGGAGTCCAAGTTGGTTAGAATCGGTACGGAGTGCAAATTGATTAGAATCGGTACGTTGTCCAAATTGGTTAGAATCGGTTTTGAGGCCATATCTGTTAGAATCAGATAGGAAATGATTCTGGTCATATTGTTGCTGATGATGTTGCGGAGCTGTATGATGATTTGAAGTTTGACCTGATATACCACTATGCATGTTGTTATGTCTGGAAAATATTCTAAATTTATCATTGGTGTTTCCACGATTCCTGGGTATTTGATTTACAGAGTTAAAATTTCTATTGACCGGAGAAGCTGAAAACACGTGATGACTTGAACCCCTTGGTCTTCCGAATCCATCTTGACGCCCTCTCACGGAAAAGGTATTTGGTAAAACACGTTGCATGTGCTGTGTTATAGGAATAGACATAACATTTGGTGCCGTTCGTCTTGTATTTACTCCAGGCAGGGTAAATGTATTCAACCCATATTGTTTACATGACTCACAGCAAAATTGTCGATAATATCTATCCGTACATTTAGATGGATCAGAAGAAATCATATTGGCACACGAATAGTAGGCCGCAAAGGACCGTAAGGAATCTCCGTGTATACATGCATCTGAAAGTAAAAGATAAAAGACTTTATACTAGTAGAAGTCCATAACATTACGAATATTGTTTTGAATTTCTTAATACATTAAAGTCTACTAAGATTTAACTTAATTTATCTTAATACAGTTTCATTTTTTTTTTATTTATTAAGGATATTTATTCAACAACACATCTTTTTGTGTCAGTATGTTTAGTTGCAGTAAGACATCTAAATGTCTCTTGCTTTATGTATCTTGGGATGCTGTCTCATTAACGTATACAATCGAGGCGAGGCGTCAAACGCTTGTATAGACAAATGCTTTCCTTAAAGGCACGGAGTGCATCGCAGTATTATAAGTTACATCAACAGGAAACAATAATTGTTTATCGGGTCTTGAATACTAGTACCCATAATATAATCTTAATCCTTATCGTCCGTATTTAATATCGTCTCACAAGTTAACAATTGTATATTTCTTTCTAGCCAATAGAACCTTAGCTACACCTTAAGGCAACCAATCATCAAACCGATATTTACTGAGTTATACATTTTAGGTTGACGTAAATATCTAAGGAAACTAATAGCTTTGCACCTCTTTGGTGCTTGTATTCTTTGTATGAAGTTAAATCATATTTAGTACCCAACCTTTATAGCTGAGCAAAGGGTCTGGGAAGTGTGGATTTAGCTCATAACGCTCAATTCTATTTAAAGCTGGGGTCAAATTTATTGAACCATTTTAAAATGTGCCGTAAATATTTTTTATCGAATTGCAGAAACAGTAGCAACAGTGAAATTCAAGTATTTAAACATACCGTCTTTTGCCGGAGCTTTTTGGTCGTAAGTACATTCACCATTAATACACCACTGAAAACGAAAATTGATTTTTAATAAATACGTGGTATGAAACTATTAGTTTCACATTTCACTTTTATTGGTAGATCATGGTATTATGAGATGATATGTTTAACAATCAATAAGCGGAATACACGAGCTTCAACGATATAGATAAAATAACAACTAAGAGAGAACATAAAAGAATCTCATGATGTCGAGTGCTGAAGATTCAATATACCCTACTTACAGTAGTATGCAAGTATGCATAAAATAAGGTTGACTATTTTTATACTGTTTATGTCATGCTATTACTTAAAATAAGAAGTATAAAAGGATAAATTTATCCGATCACACATAATACAATTTAATTAATATGCCTCTGGTTTATCCCACTCAAATAACGAAAGTTGATTCAAATGCGTCGTTCCCTTTGTCTTGTTCAAATTAACACCAGTATATTTTAAAATATAAAAGTTAAAATAATTTATTCACTAACTGCCAAATTGAAACATTTGTTTCTACATACTATTATTGCTAATAGACTTAAACACGAAAGCTGGATATTTTTACGTCTCTGATAAGTCATACATGACAAAAAAATATTATCACTTCCATATTAATTTTATTTTTATTTTGATTTTAAGAAAAATAGCTTATGTTTTTTTCTTTCGCATAATGAAATGTTGACCAATCAATTTTTCAGTACCATTCACATTAGTTTTTTATCAGCAATTCTATAAAAGCCATCGCTGACTGACTCCGAAACACATGAATGTGTTGATAGACAGTAGGTGTTCATAAACTTTTCACTTTTGTCTTATTAGTTTTGGTATGGTGTCCTAAAATTTGACAAGGTTAATGGAATGCAGCCATTAGTTCATTTTATGATTTAATAAACTGATTTTCAATTCCCATGCTAGACAGGTATTTTCTAAGCTATTGTACAAAGAAAGATGATAACATAGAATTGTATTTTGAATGGTATCATTATCATAAACAATTACCTTTTTATTCCCGCATGACGTTCCCCTTGCTGCATTGTACAGATTATAACTGGTTGACGATTTGTTACTTTTACACGCCATATGTGTGCATACATCTTTGAATGATCCAAGATTGCCTCCCTAAAGTAAATAAAAACACGGACCTTTAGAATATAGTGCATGAACGACACACTGCGACAAGATAAATAAATAAGATATTGCTCTACCGTATATATCTCAAATGAGATCATATAATTTGGATATGAATAATAACAGCTTTAATGTAATATAATAAATTCTGGTAATTGGTAATTTGCGAATGATAATAAACGAATAAATAAAAGGATAAAGCTAAAATCAATAAAATAATAAGAATTAATATGCCAAGCAGTCCGAGCTTGAAAAGTATTATTTATACGCACCCATCCATAGAAAGAGTCATCGCCAAGTTTCATTTGGCATTGCTTGTTCGGGCTGAATAACTGACCAGTTGCTACACTTGTTAACCCTGCAAACTCTCTTGGATCGTAATAGGATTTTCGCACAGATAGACAGTTGTGTCCCTGGTTGTTTCTGTAGATAGAAATTGTGAATTATAGACAAAAAATGACCGAGATCGAGGTCTTTCTTATTTTAATGTTTTCAGATTACTTTTTCTTATTATTAGTGTTTATCCCACACTTATTTTTGCGTTATTGTATGTTGAGTCTGACACTGCATAACATTTATTGATGATAAATATCTGTTTATTTTATGAAGATGACACTAATAGATTCCATTATGTCCGTTAATTTGAGCTATTTATATGTAAAAACTGAATATGCATAGTAAACAGAAAACAGTAATATATCTTACAATGTCTGCAATCTGTCTAGAAAATAACTCTTTGAGCATTCAGAAAAACGAAATGGGTTCAATACGGTTTGCTTTGTTACATCCCCTCCACCAATCGATGTCATGATAAACTTGTTTTGTGGAGTACAGATATTTCTATCCCCGTCATGTCTAGCTCCCAGACTGAAATAAAGTACAAATGAAAAAACTGAATGACAGGTAAAAAAGCATAGTAATTCTATTCAAAGGAAAAGGTATGATACGGTATTTTTTTTGTTGTGTCTTAAAATAAGAAATCAAAATAATCCTTAATTTTTCAAACATCCTTCTGATACTCACAAGACATTAGTCTGTCAAATATCACTCAATCATCATTTTGAAACTGAACATATTTGGCTTAGGATTTAAAAACTTCTTGCAATTAAAACAAAACAGCAAAAACTACTAAAACAGCCTCATGTTGATATCTTGTCATTTGTATTGAGATATGCACCACAGCCTTTAAGTTTCCAAAAAAAAAAAAAAACATTTGCTCCAAGATGTCTTAGACAACAATGTTAATTGTAAAACAATGTTTTGGGTAATGTTGTGGATCATATCTAATTTTGCCAAAAACAATTACAGTTTTAGGTGGATCATGTCATTTTTATGACATATTAGTGGCATCACAATTGACATTTTAACTGACATTTCTGCGCTTAAATGTCCAGGTTATATCATCCTATTTATTTATCAATGAAACACACATACACTTTTAAAAATATTATATACTTAATATTAATGCTAAAACAGTTGCCAGATAGTAGAATAAAATATCGTGGCATTGAGTTATCAGATGTCATTTGTAAAAAATGAATCGAGAAATTATGATTATAAAGTTTTATTATTAAAAAAAGATTTGTAGTAAGTTGCAATATTTGTTTATTGAACCTATATGAAATAAGCTGACAATAAATGGAAAAATTAATATAAAAAGAACAGTGTCAAAAACCAAAATATGAAAAGCGGAGGATATGAACAGATTTAGATGAATAGAATGCACTCACCTATGACCTAATTCATGAGTTGCTGTTATTATACAATCGAATCCGCCTCTGTCTTCTATTATGGAAACACTATCTTGTCTACACACCGAATCGAGACTGGCAAATCCTAAACATATATAAGAAAATATCTTGAATGCAGTATTAACAGATTATAGAGGAAAGGAGTTCAATATCTTTACCTAATCGCTGAAATTCTTTATTGAAACAAATACTAAAGGCATAGACAAGAGAGTACAAATGAAGCAGGTTAAATGCCCCATTCTTTTAAGTTTTATAACAAATTAGATATTTTACCCAAAATACAATAATACATAAAATTACTTACCAGTAACAGAATAATCACGTGATATTTTGGTGTAAAGGTCTCTCCTACAAAATAGAAAAGAACATGATTTGAAAGTACAAAAATAACAGCAAAGGCAATACAAAAATATGTGGCTTAAGACAAAAAGAATAAAAAAACCCAACCGAAACAAAACAAAAACATACACAGCAAAAACAATGATTGAGCAATACCAACTCGCAAAAAATAAAGCTTTTGTTTCATTAGTTGTATCGTGGTGTTAATGAATGTAAGATTTATACAACAATTTTTGGGAAAAGCTGACATCTTCCATCAATTACGGCATGTTTTGGAATAAATGTTTACATTTTATTTTATCATGTTATGTAATGAATTTGGTTGCTTTTGGTCTCCTTTAGTTTATTTTAGCCACTTAGTTAATTTGTTCTTCCTATGTTTACTGGTAATCCCATTTTAGTTCAAAGTTTTATAACAAATCCGGAATATGATGTGCACATTATATCTGAGTTTAATATTCTAAAATCATAAATCTAAGTGGAAAACTATTTCCAACTGATTATCACATACCCCGTGAAAATCATTAAATGATCATGTGGAGGTAGTTCTGATATCATCATTTTCCTCCATTCAATGGCTCTATACATGGCATCTTCTACGGCGGCCTTTGCTGGATCATTCCATATGTTTACATTCCGATTCTAGAGCCAAAATAAAAACTATACATATAGGCAAGGTAACATTACGCTTTTTATTTTCACTAGTTATTTATATGAAAAGAAAAAAAGAAATGAACTTTCGACAACGTAACAAGAATATATGTTTTCTACTGCTATGTAGAACTGGTTTCTTAAATGAATTACTTTTTCAATATACTGCTTTAAAAAGGTTAGGAGACTAACAAAATAAGTAAAATTTATGTAATTTTCATTTTATATCAACTGGAAAATATATAAACTTACATCATCGATGAGGTATCCAGAAACAATAATTCGGATTTCATATACAGGATGCCTGATATTTCTGTAACGAATGTCCATCTGAAAAATAAAAACAATATGATATCGATACAAGTTATTCTTGTGGGGTCACTAGTTATTTTTGAAATACCAAAATAATAATTTTGTACCTTTAATTTCTTCACGCCCTTTAAGGTGATTTTTCTAACCGTTTTGAACTTTACCGCCTTTGATAACTTACGATACCATAGATTACGAATGTGGACTATATATGTTTACCGCTCTTTGTTGGAGTTAATATTACCTAAAATTTATTTTCCATTGTTTACTGATCTTAAAATGTTTTTCTTGTTTGTCCATGTTTATAAATATAGAATTATAAAATTCAGACAAAATTAAAAAAAACTACTTACAGCGTTTACAACATGAGCATAATATTGTCGAATCAATGCTTTGGCATCAGTCTCTTTTTGGGAATGCGTATAACCTTTACTCATAGTGTAAAACCTAAAAATGAAGATATAAAAAAATTAGCAATCGTTTGAAAACTTATGTAAATGTTCAAAAGGGTTCCATATCAAGTATCTTAAAATGCTACTTAAACATAAGTTATAGGTACGAAAATACAATTTAATATTGATAGTAAAAGTATCTCGGTCTTTTATTGTTTGAATATCTTCTTGGAATGCACTGCTGTCTCGTGGATGTAAACCCACACATATTATTCTTTTACATAGAATTACTACTTTAACAAGTAGCGTTTTGCTGATAGAAAACACAGAATTGGTTCATTACCTTCTATATATGACATCATCAACTAGAATAAGTAGTCCGACGGCATATGTATTTGAAGAGCCGGACATCTGTCCATGATGTCCCATTCCTATGTTCTGATGCCCAGTGAAAGTAGACCCAACGGAATTATTGATAACTCGAAATCTTTTTCTCATTGCAAAATGTTCAAATTCCGTCTGTGTTTCCTCATTTTGAAACGCCGTAGTAACAGCTGCAATTTCTTGATCCTCTGATAAAAGAAAAAAAATTAACGTTTGAAAAAATTATTCAGTACATTTTCCATTGATTAATATCACTAAGATCTATAGAATATGACTACTAAACACATATTGTTCTGCCTTGATAGAAGTGGAAAATAATGTACGATACATACAAATATATCTAAGTAAAAGAATATAAATTCAAATTAATTAAAATGAAATAATTTGAATACATAAATTGATTAATTAATAATTGATATAGAAAAATAAAACAAAGCATAAAGAAGAAAAAATAATTGGTTTTTTTTTCGTATCCTATTTTTTCATTTCAAATTGTACATGAGGAGAATTTGTATGACCTGCAGGGAAAAAATCTAATGTGCACATGAAAGAAATTCACATGTTGAACAGAATATATATGGTTTTGAGTGGCCATACAAATGTCACCAAAAACCAATTATTTGACATTGAAATCATCATCAGCTGTAAAATTAAAAAACTACCAAACAAACAGTACCTCCAGCAGTGCAAGTTTTTCCATCTACTTCTACTTGTTTTCTGTTGTATACGTTATAAATATAGTTTCTGTTAAAGCCAGTATTTGCCATGTCATGGTTTGGCTTTATGTCGAAATCCGTTCCATTCAGGTTGATTGATCCTAACTGAAAGTTGATAAATGTCACAATGTTATGATTTTGAATTAAAATAAATATCAACAAAGGTTGCTGTGTTGATTGTTGAAAGTTTAATCACAAAAAAAATTAAGATGCGTAACAAATGACTTTCAAAAAAAGATTAATTGAACACACTTATCATAATTGACATTCATAGGATCTATGAACATTTGAGTACACAAATAGCAGTTAAACCACTCACTTCCGCAATGTGTTATGTCCGTGTCAAAAACCACGAAAGTGGCTGCCTTTGTTTTTTTCATCGTTTTTTTGCCGTTTAGAGAACAAGGTGTTAATTCAGATCTTTTTTCATTCTCTGTTCAATTTATTCACAACTTGTCCAGACTTTGAAATATGTCAAAGAACTAAGGCTTTGTCTATTGTGAAGACCCCTATCTATTGTTAAAGACCCTCGCCTTTTGTTGAAGAACCTTGTTTATTGTTGAAGACCGCATTTCGACCTCTAAATATTTTTCAACATTGGTTTTGTTGATCAATTACAGTCTTTTAATGTCATATGTGTTATTATTATTTATGGTAAATGGTAATATTAAAAGAGGTTTCTCAAGGCTAACATCAAGCGTACGAACTAACAGCAAAGAAAAAACAAACATTGAAGAAAATAAAAACTTAAATAAAATAAGTAAAATAAATGCTCACAATATAAGGTTTGCACATTCCATATTCTAATCCCTCACACGTTACAGTAAAAGACGCAAGAGAATCAGGACACTGGTATAATCCAACATTCTGAAAATTCATACAGATATATGATCTCTATATTTATAGATGTTTTTTCAACTACACCACAGAATTGTTTCATTTGTTGTAGAAATAATCCCGTTCTTATTCCCTCGTTTATGACATCATTCGTAACGACTTGTCACCCGTGTCCACCCCAGTTTAAGTTTGGTTCGTGTTGCCCAATTTGCATGCATTTCTTGTGTTAAGTAATCTGTGTTTTGTCATTTTTGTCTTTTTCTTTTTTTCTGTTGCTGTCTGTCTTATATTTTATATTGCACTTATGGCATCTTATTGTTTTTTTGAACATGAAACACTTATTAACATTATATTAAGCCTACCAGCTTAGCATTTCGTCATTTGCATGAATGAAACAGGCTAAATATTCAATTATAATATTAAGAAAATAACATTATTATAAATTGCAAACAGTCCGGACAAAGTCGCTTTTGTCGATTTTGGGTGCTTCAGTAATGCACTTTTGGAGTTGAAGCCAAAACTAAAAATGTATTTTGCAACTAAGCCTTATCCTGGGCACAATTAGTAAAAGATACTGGACATACAAACTTTATCATAAGAAATATATATGTGCAGGAGATTAGTCTTTATCATAAGGAATATATATGTGCAGGAGATAAACATGATAAGTAAGCGGCAGTTTTTTGGGAAATTCGTAAAATGAACTTCAACGAGTACATACAAAGACATTCAGTAACTAAATCATGTTGAACACAGGTGGCCAAGAATTAATTAAATAAACCACATTTACAAGTTTTAGTGTTACAATAAATTCATCAAGTAAATGTACGACCTGTAAAGCTTAAATCAGAAGTCAGTATTATTATAACCGCAAACTCATATATTACACAAAATTTTATGCATCAGTCAAACTTAAAAGCGAAAAAGGGCGGATATCGACATAATTATGATATGTCTGTCATGGTGATGAGGGTGATTGACGGTTAAACACGTTTTTTTAAAGTTAAAGCAATAGAAGCAGTCAAACGTTATAAAGCTTTTTCTGGGGTAATTAGTACGTTTGAGAACCGTCGCAATCATATATATCTATTAAAGTGAATCGCTGCTGTAACAAGCGATACTCTAGGAAAGAAACAAAATGTCAAAAGACCAAGAAAAACTCTGATTTTCTATATTCATATATATTATCAACATCAATATTAACGAACCATCGTTATGAGTTAATAAACTCTGATATATATCAAATATCCCATATAATAAAACAAGCGTTTAATTTCTGAACGAGTACAGACAATTACGAATAGCAAATTATTAAGAAAAAAGAATAACAATACTAGAAAAAGCTACCTGTTCTATAGCAATGTCCTCCTTTAAAATAGTTTTTTGACCGTCCGAATTTTCTCTAACGACATATACTGCTTTAGACTCTAGATCATCTTTGTTTAACTCAAGTCGCATTGCATGTGGACCGTCTTCATCTGACAACAGGTCTAATTTAATATCCAGTGTTTCAGGCATTTCATTTTCTAAATGCTGGTTATTATTCGATAGTACTTGTGTTACTACTGCTATTCCATGTTTGGTCCCAAAATCTATTGCCAAATAAGATAAACTATTATGAACGTTAAATAAGTGTATGCTTTTTCTTTCTTAAATAATAAATAAACAGACATTTAAGATTATAGAATATGCATGCATTTAGTAATTACTGATATCTCCAGAGCTTTAATATAAAAATTCTGTGTTGCTATCATATATGAATAGGACCCTAGGCGTATTTGTAACCAAAGTACAGTTTCAAACAAAAGCATATTAAGCATATCATTACATTGTAACCAATATTGTGTACTTTGATTCAATTTAGAAACATGCTTAGTAGACGCCTTTATACAATGTATAAAAAAAATCTAGAAATAAATAAGTAGAAAAATGCCTGTTACAATGTTTTGTTGTTGAAATTTAAAGAAAGGGGTCTAATAGGCTTTGGTTTATAGGATTTCCAAGTCGGAAGGCACCTGATTTACCAATAACCTTTTTCCAGGCTTAAATCAATACCAGTTACACGTCATCTTCATATAAATTTATAAACTTATGAAAATTTTAAAACCTTTAATGATTTAAGGTTAATGTTTAAAGCATATTGAACGATGCGTTAAGCTAATTCGTTTTACTTATAAGAAAATGGAAACTACATATTCTAGATACATGCATTTATCATGTTTAAAAAATAATATAGCAGAAAAAAAGTCACATAATTAGTTGAATATAAATTAAAATAAAGTATCTTACCAAATTCAAATTCTGAAGAGCCAAGGATGGCAGTATAAAATCCAAATAAAGTAATGAAACCTAGCATTATCATTCCTTGACACCAAAAACGTTTGTACCGATAGTCGCCTTTTATTGTGAACCACTAATGAACAAAAGTCATAAATCTTTTATAATTTCAAGAATGTCTGATTATAAATGGATTATTAAAACAGTCTGCCAAATTTAGGTTAGAATAAATATAGAATAAAGAATAAATTCCCAAATCAGAAACGTGCCACAGTTTGTGCAGACTTAAAACCAGAACTAATTATCGATTTGAATTATCATATAAATATATATATAGTCTTGAATTGAAACACCCACATGATCCAATCAAATGTGAACATATTTTATTTAAATGTTGTAAATATTTCCTCACTACTTATTATAATTCATTTAGTCGTATGTTCATTTATGATTTACCTTAATGAGACAAACAATAAAAGCATCATTCAAAATATTAATTTATGCGATACGTGCTACATTGTTTCAATTTTACAAAATACACGATATAGTTCCCTTCCTGTAATAATTTACAAATGTTGTAATCATGTAAACAAAATAATAATTAGGCGGTGAGCAATAACTTCCGTGATTTTTGCATTCATGTATGTTTCCAAGGATTTCATCAAAGTTTCACTGACATCACAATTTTATATTTTAAATGTGCAATTCGGGGCAACAGAGGTTAACTGATGATCAAATCTCATAAATCCATTAAGAAGATACTAATCAAGGCAAAAATAGAAATTAAATAAACCTGGGGGAATCTGGTGAATTCCAAGTTGATCCAGACTGGTGTGTCGACGGGTATGCATGCATTACCCGCCATGCGAATTTAAACTCTGTAAAAATGTCATAATCGAGATTTGAATTAAAACATATATAGACGGGATAGTATGACATTTTACCAGACATTGAGCCATGTAAATGATCATATGTAATACGTTTCAATTAACTACAATGTTAATGAAACGTAAATATTTCCATGAAGTCTTTTAAACGCAAAACAACAAGCTGATATTTTAAAACCGAAACATAATGGCTATTAAATATCAAAGGAACTAAAACTAATACATACATTAAAAAGGAACTCTTTGTGAAGATAATGTCTCTAATACCTATCACGATCTTTTAGTGTTAATAAAAAAAAATCACTAAACATTATATGTTCGAATCATTCATTATTATAAAGTTTATCTTCACTTATTCAGAAGTAATTGAATGTTGTCCACTTTTTTTGATATTATTTTAAATACATTTTCTATATAGAATTTATTGGCAACTGTTGTTATCTAAATATCAAGTAATTCTTGTTAATAATACCAGTTTGTATGAAATAAGAAAAATATAAGCTACAACATATACAGTTTGGACTGTAAATAATTCATCATTGCAGTTAAAATGGAATATAATTTACATCTTTTCTGAATAACAACACTTACTCAAACAACAAAACTAATATACCGAAGACGATATTATTGAATTTTTGGAAATGTTTGATCGACGAGATATAAGTGTTTGTCGAGATTGGTGGATTGATATTTCGTTTACCCGTGGGTACTTATTGTGTATCCATATTGACCGACGGCCGACTTGTTTTCTATTCATTTGAGACAGAATCCATACGAAACCTTCTCAAAGACAAAAAAAAAAACCAAAAACACTATCTTTCTTAATTACATTAAAAGTAAAAATTAAAAATTCTTTAATTCATCATGTCTTTTATTGCTTTTATTTCACGCGCATAACGTTTCAACTAAATATATAAACGCCATAGACATACGGGACAGAGGGTATGTTGCTACTGAAAGCGGGGTAGTTGTAAATGGGGTATATTAAATTGTTTGTCATAGGTCCTAATTTGAAGTCTTCCATTTATGATCAATGTCAGAAAACAGATACAGACAGAAGCAGACCTTCTATTGTCAGTGGTATCTTTAATGCCAAGTTGACTGTGATATATGAGATGCAAGCATTTGTTGAAATGTCAGTTACTGTGCAACAGAACATCATCTGTACAACTGAACGTAACATTAATGAATTTTTGCTTTTTGTCTTTGTTCCATTTGAATACAAACTCGAATAGTAAGAGTGCAAAATTAGTAATTTAGTATCCATATGATTACCGACTGTCTGTTGAAAGATCAATCCACAAAACGCTACAAATATGTTGCCGATAAAAAAAAAACCCAATCACTCTAATGATATCGTCCTCGGTGATTTTGTTGTTGAATCAGTGTGGTTTTCACAATGTGATATTCTTATTTTTTTTTTAATCCTAAACAATTCTTTCAAATTGGAATCTTCGATGTAGAAAAAGCACTGTATAATTAGAAGATGAAGTCGTTTTTTTAATTAAGCATGAGAAATAATAGTGAAGAGTGCAGAAAAAAAGCAAAAGTTTTTACATTATTTCAATAATGTAATTATTGTGCTGTAAACTTTCGGAGAAGATCTATTGAACTTTAAAGAATCCACTCTGATTGACACCGCTATATGAGTATAAATTTGACCTCCATCTTTTACTGTAGAACGAATGGTAGTAAAAAATTTAGAAAAATGTTCAGTAAAACATTTTAACCGGCATGTTATATATTGTTGTTAAATATGATTTTTGTTTAGTTTTGGTATTAAATATAAAGACGGGAGATTTTTATCGTCTTTTTTTTAAATTTTGACACCAAAGGAGAAAGGACGGATTAGTGTCTTCTTTTGTGAATGATGTCTGCATATAAGTGGCGTGCCTAGATTTGGTGATTCTTTTGTCAGACAATCAATCCAAATAATGATTTATGTATATAAACAATATTATGCAAGGATTTGTCTGCTGGCACTACAACATATTTATCTTAAATAAAGGATAAAGCATCTACGTCTAATATCTTCTATGCATGAATTGCAATCTTACCACTAGTACAATCACCTTTGTATATTTATTAATTTTCTTGATAGCAATTAACTTTTCTTTTAACTTTTAAATTTCGGTCCTCTGAAATGATTCAGGTAAATGCAAATGTATAGCTTGTTGGAGGACATAGGACATTTCAGGGTTATACCATTACTTCACCCTTAAGTCACATTTGTTTTGCATTAAACTGTCAATACTAACTTTAATTTAATGATAATTTTCACACAATATATATTATTATAAATTTATAGCGTAGTTTTAACCCTTAAACAGCATTGTTCATCGTTTAGAATTAATGAATTCTTTTGCGTGCAAAGCATTTAAGTTTTGTCATAAACAATACTGATTGAGTACTTCTCATTGATTAATGGATATGTTTTGACATGTAAGATAATTATTTCATAATTTCTAGTTTAAATTAAATATAAAAATGAGATGAAGGTGCAAAAGATAAAGAATTTAATAAAAAGAAATTTACGTTAGAGAGGAAACTTTTATTGATTTTAACATGTCTATAATTTCATATTTTCCAACGGAAATGCGATACAAACATTTTTTCTCAATAAATCTGTCAATACAAATGATAAATCAAAAATACTAGCAGTAGACAATACAGAATGCACACTAGATATATTATGTGGTATGTGTTTCCGTATACGATACTTTTATTGTCTTAATGCAATAAGATTACGCAAATAAGTAGTGCATTCATAAAACCTTGAAAGGAAACTAGGGTAAACCAAGTAAATAGATATATACTACGTAAATCATATTTCATTTTTTGGTTTCCTCTGAATCATAAGGTAACACGTACTTCTGTTGTAACCTCGGGATTTCCCTTTAACGTCAAACGACCATAGACGGAAATATTCAGGTGATGCTTGGAACGTTTTAGATAAAATTATATAATTTCACATAACATTTCTTATTTCAATACAATATTAAAGTTTAGCACCTATTTAAGAGTGCAGGGCAAGTATTTCCGGATTACATCTGAGATAAAATTTGGGAGGCAAAAAGATTTGAGCTCTTACAAACATGTTTAACCTATCCATATTCATTATGTGCCTGTCCAAAGTCAGAATCATGTATTTCAATGTTCATTGTTGGTTGCTTCTACGCATTTGTTTTTTGTTCATTTTTTTTTTCATCAACATGACTCAGGCCGTTGGCTTGTTTTTGTTGAATTGTTTCACATTTTGTCCAACGGACTCTCTGATAGCTTACTATACGGTCTGGATTTTGCTAAAATTTCAAGGCCGTACAGAGCCTTTTAATCTATAACACGACAATAAAAAAATCGTCACCTTTTAAAAAAGGTATGGCTGCTTCGTTGTATTATACATTGTTGTTAACTGTTGTGTGTTCGTGTTTTTTTCTAGGATAAATTAGAGAGTTTGTCTTTATTTCATTAGTATGTATAAGTTTTTATATATCTGATACTTTCATTTAAGTTTCAGTTATATTGTTCATATAAATATAAATAAAAAGTTAAATAACAC